CGATTAATTTCTGACCAAGAAATCTTAAAGCTCTATAAAAATCACAAAGTTTGTTCTTAAAAATATTATTCTGCAAATCGACGACTAGTCGCTCGTCGGCCTCCCTACGGTCGGCCACTCGCGGCTAACCGTTACATGTACATTTTCACTCTTCCATTTAGTCTAGAGTCACTTTTGAAACTAATTCATTCATTCTCCTCTATTCCTTCTTTAAAAGTCACTCTCTTTGTGCTATTGTGACTGTCGAAGACAACACCTGAAAAGCGAAACATTATTTTGAATGACTGGTATCAGATTATATTCGTATAGTATAGCTGTTTATAAAAGTGTGTGATCTCATTAAATGCTGATGACTATGGAGCTCCAGCGATCGGACCTCAGTCAGCTGTTACCTTTTGTTCTACATATTACCACTTACAACATTATCGCCTAAAAATTGAACCTTTGTCGCAAAAAACGGGTCAGAAAGTGTTCATGAAAAAAATAACACTGGATTCGAGATCCTCGACCTCGATTACCCTTCGGTCAACCCTTACTCAACCACAAAAAAATTTCAATACTTAATTAGTTAATTAGCTAATTAGCTAATTGGAATTTTGAGAAACTAACCTCGGATTCGTGATCCTCGACCTCGATTACCCTTCGGTCAACCCTTAGTCGTATGAGCTAGTATTAGGTAATATTGGAAGAAAAATGAACGGACGAACGAACGAACATCAACTCGTTTTTTCGGTGATATCAGCTCGACGCACTACCCTCCTTTCAGTAGAGGGAATTAGCTTTATCGAATAAAAAAAAGAAATCATTTGGAACAATGTTCAAAACATTATCCCATCGACTTATTCTATCTAAATCTGATTGCATTATCGTTAATTGATGATGCTAATACCCGATTGTTAATTCTTACTTTTTCCTTACCAAATTTTCAACAATTGAAACATTTATCGATATCGAGTAGCAAGTTCGATCTAGTCGTTTTCGATGAAGTTCCTCAAATAATATTATTTGAAGTCAGAACATTAAAACATCTCATCTGGAATACGTACGCATACTTTTTCTGTAATCGAAAGAATTACGAATCATTAGTCGAAAAATCGATCATAGAGTATCATGAATTTAAAACATTCTCATTTCTAGATTTCCATTATCTTGAATCGCTGTCACACAATATGAAGTCATTGGTTACTGAACGAGTTTTCCACCTCCATTTCATTTGACTCTCGCCGCAAAACTTGCAAAGATTGACTCTTTTAAAAGTCAATGACATTCAAAATCTACCTGATTTTGATCATATATTCAAACATCTTTCCTGTTTAACTCATCTCAAATTAATTGGTGTATTACCAGAAGGAACGAATCCCAACGATGATTATGAATGGCAAAAATCTATTGAAGAATATTTGCCACTATTGAAAATCTTCAGCTTTGTTTCATTTATCAGAGTCGTCCGACAATTAAGCTGAAAATATTTATCGACTCTTTTGCAACTGACTTTCGATCGATTGAAAAAGAAATGATTTGTCAATTTGGAACACCAAATTAGTAACAAAGTTACATGTTTATATACGATACCTTGTATGAAAACAAAATTGAAATATAAAGATTCACTGCAAAGAAAATCAACAGCAACGATATCAGTCACAACTTGTATTCAAGAATTAACCCTGACGTCAATTAAAATGGAAGCTTTTATATCGATTCAGCGCTTTAGCAATGTTCAATCATTGATCTTATCATTGATTGTTGGGGAAATAACATATGAACAGATGAATTCGTTTCTAAATATGTCATCGGTTAAATATTTCAAATTTGAGTATATAATCAATGGAAAACTGCTCTTCGATATATTGAAATATCATCCAACACCGATATCTGTTGAGATACGATTACAGAATTATTTAGAAGAAATTACACAAGTAAAGAAAAGTTCTCGTGAACATTTGAAAACAAATTAAATCATCAGTACTTGATGGACTTAATCGCTACCTTCTGTTCTCACGAACCGAAAATTTCCAAAACATTTCTCTTTATCATTCAAATCTAGAAAAATTAGTTATTACCTGTGCAGTCATATCAATACGGGACGTTATACTTCTACTTAATAATTGGAACCGTTTATCTTTTCTTAAAGCGAAATGTAACGATTTACCAGAATTGAATCCGCACGAAGACCTTCGTACTTGGTTACACAACCAAGACATTAGATCGAAAAATCTTCCGTTTATAAACAATATGACGATTTCATTTACATATGGATCAGTTAATCTATGAACTTATCTGAATTATTTTGAAATAAATAACAAAACAATCAATCAATAGAATGATCGCATTATTTAAGGATATAGATATATATATACACGAGTGAACGAACAGTGGAGACGTGCATAGTTGAGGTTTACATAATTCAGTTCAGCTCAAAAGAGATGTTCGAACATATCCTTGTGAACTAAACTGTGTAGATCTCGAGAACTTTCATGAGCATCGATCTCATGTTGTAGAAAAAAATGAATTAATAGGATTTTCCGAAGAAAAGGTACGATCTTTGTCAAAAAATATTTTACCAACCAATCACAAGATATTCCCACAACTATTCAGTTTTTACAGAAAGATTTATGTACAAATGGATTCTTTTCTAACCATTTTGTATCTCATAGATGAAAAGAGTTTGTTAAGCTTTCAACATAACAGTAACCTATCGTCCATTCGTATACGTTATTAATATGATTGAATCAGTATAAACTCTGCTAGATCAGACTGAGAGAATAAAAGTTTAGATTTTCTTTGCGGACTTTGGATGGCATGTGACTCACAATTGTCCCACTAAACCGAAAGTGCATTTTCCTGCCTAAATCATCAATGTCCGACATTGCTGTTTGAACATCTAAGTTATAGAAAATTTGTTTCAAACAAGTTTATGACTTTTGTCAATATTTTCTTTCCATTTTGAGGGCGATAGTATAGCCTTATACGTTCAGATACATAACACTACTCACTCTCACCCATCCTCAAGATGAACCGAGGAAAGCATCGTGGAAACTTTGGTGATGGTGTCCATTACAGGGACCGGCAAACAAACAGACAAACTTTCTTCTTTATACATAGAGAGAGAAGATAAATAGTATATTAGTTGAATCAGCGAAAACGAAAGCAATAGAAATAGGCGTAAGCATTAAATAAAATTTTAGCTTAAGTTCCATATGAAGTGAATTAATCATTTCTTATCTGTAAGTTTTCTCTTTTTTGTAATCTTAATAATTCATTTCTTTGATCAATATAAAGCTAAAAGGGTCAATGATTCAATTATAAATGAAAGAATTTTTTGAAACATACTCTATTGGTTACTTCTAATAATTGAGCAACTCGATCCGGAAAATTTTCAATTGGATCAAAATATTGTAAATGCATTCGAGAATCCAATTGTGCTTGTCTTTCTAATTCGCTTACTTTTTTCAAACCTAAAAAAATCATTCATATTTATGTAATCAGGTAAAACCATATTTTTACCTGTCCAACATAGAAATCGTCTTAGCATGAAAGAAAATATTTCCTCATTATCAATTCTGTCTTGTTGAGCACGACGAAAATTATCATTAATTATCGAAATAAACATACTCATACAAACAAAAACAGTTAAGAACATAAATAAAGTAAATGCCAATGGGCCAAGAAAAGCATTCGCTTCAATTAATTCACCTGTATCAAACTTCATTAATGTCATTTCAGACAGCATTTGTGCGGTGGATAATAAATCTGAACATGGCGATACCGTTGAAATAAATAATAAATAAAATAAACAAATAAAAGACATAAATACAATTGAGAACATCATTGAAAATGAAATCATTTCTTTGCCAGCATATTGAAGTGTTTTACTAAATAGGGATAAATAAGAATTAAATCGACAGAAATGTATAAATTTCATCGTTCCAAAAAAACAACAAAAACCAAGAAGGAATGTTAAAAGATCATTAATATAAATTGCAAGTTCGAGATTTATATAAACATTTCCATTAGTTTCTTCAAATAATTTACTGATACGATTTGATTCATGAAAACGCCACATATAAACTCCAACACACGCCCATGAACAAATTATTATACCGCATTCGATTAAAGACCAAAATTGAAAAAAATATTTTACTCTCAATCGAAAAATGAGTCGAATTTCATTGATCGTAAAATAAATAGTAAAACATATATAAATGATTATACAAATCAATTGAAATAACGATGTGAACGCTTAATAAAACATATACAAATTATTTTCAAGAGATATGAGCGATGGCACATCCTGATCTCCTGTCGAAGACCAGAATATGTGACACTGCTGAAAGATATTCAACTCACCAAAGAAATTAATTGGTTCAAAACGATATGTTGGATAAACTCCACTTGAAGATAAAAATTCCAAAAGAAAAGTCACTGAAGTAAATAATTGAACATTGGGATTGTATAACGTCGATTGAATTAAAATAGCTCGAGTTTTTTCATCAATCCATCCTAATTGATGAAGTTTAGATAAATTACTTGTAAGATCCGATAGAGAACCGAGAAATTCGTATACATAACCACCTCCATCATATGTTCCATGTTCACCCCTATAAACATAGCTGTCTAATTCATCGCTACTATTATATTTAAATGCGCCAAGAATTGATGAGCTATATGTTCCTCCTACGGATGTTTCATTAATCCATCCTGGCCCAAACGAACGCTTTTCTTCATTGAAAAAACTATAGTCATCTTCACATATTGAAATAACACGTTCACCAGAACATTTAGTTGACTTAACACGTAATTGTCTCATTACTGACCAGCCAATTATTCGATTAGATTTATCATTTATATATCCGGTTAAATTTTGTGGAACATCACTATTATACCATGGTTGAATGCGCATTTTCGATGCAAAGATATTCTCTATCCATTCCCAACATTGATCTATTGTTGAAATCTATAAACAATCATTGTTTTATGAAATATATAGATAATATTAATTTCAATCAAACCTTCGGATAATTATTATCCAATTGTATCGTATTAAGAAAATAGTTTCGTAAATGGTTCACTTGAAGAAAACTATTTTGTTCGCGATTAGCAAAACTTATGAGAAAAATCAATATTAAAAATACTAAATAAGTGCCAAATTCACGAATTATTGACCACATTTGAATTTCTTTTAGACGTTCTTCACGAGCATAGTGTACTTCATTTTCATTCAGGCGATTAACTTGTTTTGAAGATCCAGAAGTAAATAAAGAATAATCCTACATAAATTAATATTCGTTTTTTTACCAAATTTTTAATATGCAAAATCAATATACCGTGAATGAATGAAGATAATCTTCATCATACTCTAATTCGAAGTTATTTACATCTAAATATTCACTTGCTTCTCTATCATCATCGGATTTTCGACAGNAACTAGAGCGAAAAGAATAACATACAAGTCCATCATCTGTTTCGACTGCAAACCAGCGTTGTGCGATAAAATAAAATTTCTCCATTGTTTGTAAATCTCGAACAATAATGTATTTCAAAAACCATGATGCTGATGAATTTTCACCAGAATTATCATGCCAAATACGAATATAATTCAATAAACCTAATGATCTTCAAAAACAACTCAATTTTTTCTATTTTTGAAGTTTTCAGAAAGAATAAATTGATTTACTTGGGTACAGCCATAACAAATGAGTCAATTCCACCACGTTGGAAAATTTTTCGATGAGAATCATCAAATGTTCGAACTTGTGTTTCTGCAAAATCACCCGACAGAACAAACTGAACCTATTTCAAGACGACATTCTTCAAAACTAAAAGCTTCGTTGAACAATGTTTTACTTTAGATTTTGTTCCAGCATTGACTCGTTGACCAGTAAAAACAATAATCTGATAAAAATATTGATCAAATTTTTTGTTATCAGCTAATGGCGTTACTCCCAACTAAAATCACCAATTGGAAATAAACAAATATGTTGGTTACTTAAAATTACCTTTTCAATATTGTTTTTATCTTTATAACGACTAAAAACCATCAATAAAAGATAGATTAGTGTTATACAAATAATTGTTAAATAAACTGTTTTGTTTCGCATAAAATCAGCATTGGCAAAAACATAACTCCAATTAATTGGTGCAGGTAAAACAATAAAACCACCCGCAAATGTTGTTAAATGTGTTGATAAACATTCAGTTTCATAATGATTTGTCAACGAACCAACCTATTCGTAATCAAAGATCAATTATTTTGTTAGATCTCGTGTTCGCAACTAAATAACATGTTCTTGGTAATTCTTATGAGCTTCACCAGTATCTGAACCTATTAAGGATTTATTTTGCTCACCTATATCTAGTTTATTTGTCTTACACTCAATCACCGTTCAATTCTGTAAATAAGTTCATTGAACTTGTCGTGTATTCCTATTAGTCTACAGAGTCTGAGATATTCTCGAAATTTCCAATGTGGCTGATTCAATTGAGACTTCAAAGACACTTACTACTATACCATCTGATTTCCAATTATTATCCGAATCTAGATAATAACATCCTGATGTATAAATACGCAATTCGTAATTGGATGTAAAGTTAAATTTTTCATCTGTGATCGGATAAGTGTTGACTGAAGAATTATTTGAACAAAATTCAATTATTTCTGTCGAATTTAATTCTCTTAAACCAAATATTAATGATTGATGATCAGACGTTTGTTGATTATTAATGAAATATGTATAAATATTTTCACTTGTCAAAGCTAAAATCTTAAGAAATAAAATGATTTGAATAAGAAGAAGAGATTACTTGAAGGACAAAACAAAGCCCATCCATCAATAAGATTGATTGAACTATTCAATTGAGGCGATTGATCAAATTTGTAAATAAACAAATACGCAAGACTTGTATTCAAAGGATGAATTTCAAAATGAACTGAAATCGAAGGAGAAGTTGTGATATTAATATATTGTAAATAAAATAAGAAATTATGTGAAGATGAATNCGTGTAATTATATGATAGATAGGGACAGCTTTGGAGCGGCAAGTTGTGAGTGGCGCCTGGTAATCTAGCTAGTTACAAAAGTATCAACAATCCGGCGCGTTCGAATGCAAAATATATACCGAGTCTCACTTGGTTTTACTGAAATTATCTTTCATTTAGAAAAAGGAGGACATGTTTAAAAGTGCAAATCCATAATAGTCATTTATAGCGAACTTCTGCTTCCTGCCGGATCTTATCGGAATCCGACAATCCGACGAAATCCGACAGGATTTCTGGTGACGGAATTGCGTCGGATCTGAAGCACGGATTTTATGAATTTTCTAAGGGTCATCATAGAACCTAGCTAAAAATAACGCTCATAAAAATTTGCAACAAATGGCTGGATTTTTCAGTCGGAATCCGATGCAATTCCGTCACCAGGAATCCGATCGGATCTCATCGGATTTGTTGACCTGGGAGCAGCACAAGTATTCCCTTGACTCTTTTGAAGACTGAGGCGAATGAAGATCAGTCTCTGGGGGCCCTTTCAAAGGTTATACTTCTGTCTTTTTTTTTGCATAAAACGCACATAAGACTATTTTATTTTCAGTCAGTGGTTCAGTCGAGGGCATAGCGAGTCTACCTCGACGAGCGTTACTAGTCATTGATTGTTGGGGAAATAACATGTGAACAGATGAATTTCTTTCTAAATATGTCATCGGTTAAATATTTCAAATTTGAGTATATAATCAATGGAAAACTGCTCTTCGATATATTGAAATATCATCCAATACCGATATCTGTTGAGATACGATTACAGAATTATTTAGAAGAAATTACACAAGTAAAGAAAAGTTCTCGTGAACATTTGAAAAAAAATTAAATCATCGGTACTTGATGGACTTAATCGCTATCTTCTGTTCTCACGAACCGAAAATTTCCAAAACATTTCTCTTTATCATCCAAATCTGGAAGAATTAGTTATTACCTGTGCAGTCATATCAATACGGGACATTATGCAGGGTGTCCCAAAAGTCAGTATGGAAAGTTTTCATTAATATCTCCTATACAATACAAGCAATTAAATTGTTTTTTTTTTATAGAAAGATAGTATATTCTCTTAAGTTTCACTTCATATATTTTGAGTTACAACAAATGCTCAAAATGATTACCATCACTCTGAACACATAAATGCATCCTTTTCACAATATTGAAAAAAACATTACACAAAGTTTCTTTAGAAATTGATTCGATTTCGTTGTTGATTCTTCTTCGTAATTCGGTCAGATCTTTTACAGGAGTTTTGTAGACGATGTTTTTTAAGTGACCCCACAAGAAGAAATCGAGAGGGGTCAAATCCGGTGATCGTGGAGCCCATCGAATTGGACCACCTCTTCCAGTCCACCTTTGAGGAAACTGATGATCCAAATATTGTCGTACATCAACGGCGAAATGTGGAGGAGCTCCATCTTGCTGAAAAAAAAACTGAACGGACCTTGTGTAATCTCCTAACTTCTGGAAGAAAGAAGTTTTGAAGCATTGATAAAACTTTCCATACGGACTTTTGGGACACCCTGTACTTCTACTTAATAATTTGAACCGTTTATCTTTTCTTAGAGCGAAATGTAACGATTTACCAGAATTGAATCTACACGAAGACCTTCATACTTGGCTACACAACCAAGACATTAGATCGAAAAATCTTCCGTTTATAAACAATATGCCGATTTCATTTACATATGAATCAGTTAATCTACGAACTTATCTGAATTATTTTGAAATAAATAACAAAACAATCAATCAATAGAATGATCGCATTATTTAAGGATATAGATATATTTTTTTTTGGAGTCAACGCTTTATTTAAATGTTAAACAACCAGTTCACAGAAAAAAAAAGAAAAGAAAACAGACAGAACGAGAGGAGAGAAAGAAGAAACAACGGACACACTGGTTGTAAAGCTGGCAGGAGATAAAAGAGACGCATGACTGATGTCTTATGTCTCGTAGAGAAAAGAAAAATAAAGAAGAGATAGTTTGATGGGTTGCGGTGTTGGTTGGGTTCGAACGCGAGGTGTTGGAGGGTATTGTAGTGGTAGTTATCTTCGAAGGGACGTCGACGTATATGTGCAGGAACGAGCCGATGTATACGTCGATGATCGTCTTTTCTTCGTTCTGGATCAAACGTTTTGTACGTGATTCCGATATAACAATTTTCGCATAGCATCGGCCGACTTAAGAATGATCTATGTTCTCGACGCTAACGTTAATAGTGGAGAGTGTTGTTTCACGCTGCCGTTAACATAGCGTGTAGAACGGATGAGATCGAATATCGAAGATGCGTGCGTCACGTATAGTCGTTAACTGTCTTCACAAGGAGAGACAGAAAGATGGTCGGGTTGTCTTAGAGGTTGTCGTCATAGTCTGTGGATTTGTGTGTTGTCGGAGAAGTAGTCTGTGTCAGTAGTCATTTGTCTTAGATCTGCCGTCGTCATGTAAGACGACGCAGATAGTCCTTTGCATTGGAGCTGGTGTTTTGTCATAGTTGGTCTGCTATGTCTTGAAGGTGTTGGAGGAGCGTTTGATCTTCGTTTGATGCGGCTGTGTTAATGGACTTGTGGAGCAGTGATGTTGCATATTCTTTGATTTTCGGTATTTTGGATATCCGATGTATATATTCGACAGAAGTGTAGATCGGCAGGCCGAGAGTAGCGCGGAGCGCTTTGTTTTGGATGATTTGGAGCCGATCCCATACTTTGTCGTTTGCTGTTAGTAAAACTGGATATCCATATGTCATCACTGGTCTTGCAATCGCTTTGAAGATGTTTAACATCGTCTTTTGGTTAGGTTCTTGCGCTGATTTGGCTAAGTATCTTAGAAGACTAATGCGTCCAGCCATTTTCGATTCGAGATGTTGAAGATGATTTCTCCACTTCAGTTGCTTGTCGATAATTACTCCCAAGTATCGGGTTGCATCCAGAGGTTTGATGGTAGTATTTTCGACTTTGACTTCTACTGGATGTTTGTATTTCTTTCTTGGGTGAAGTCTAAAGTGGATCATCTCGGTCTTTGTTGGCTGTAGCTTCAGCTTCCACGATTTGCACCAACTTTCGAATGCATCTATGGACTGTTGTAGTCTTTGTGAAAGACTGGTCAGTGTGTTGGAAGATGTCCATAGAGCAGTGTCATCAGCGAAGAGACCATGTTCCGTGTGCGGTGGTATATCGTTCATCGAGTCGGCCGTGTAGATGATGTATAGGAGTGGAGATAACGGCGACCCTTGTGGTGTACCACTCTGCAGCTGGAACGGACGAGATATATCATTGTCGATTTCGATTGCAGCAGTCCTTTTGTGGAGGAAGGAGATCAGGTAGTTGGTAAGGTATTGCGGGAGACGAAGATCATGTAGTTTGTATATAAGGCCATCGTGCCAGACTGAATCAAATGCGGCTTTGATATCGAAGAAAATGACAGCGGAGTGTTGTCTAATTCCGGGCCGATGGAGTTTACTTCTTGCGAAGCGTTCAAGTCGGACGATGTTGTATAGTGTGCTCTTCTTCGCACGGAATCCTGCCTGATGTACTGGCAAAATGTTTCGACGTTCGATTTCGAGCATGAGCCTTTGCTTGATGATCTTCTCCAGCAGCTTACCGAGACAGCTCAGGAGACTGATGGGACGATAACTGGATGGTAGACGCTTGTCCTTGTTCGGCTTCAACAGTAAGATAATATGTGCTTTCATCCAGATGTCTGGTATGTATCCAACTTCCAGAATCGTATTGTACAACGTTGTGAGGTGTTGTACAAATAACTCGGTGTGGTTTTTCAGGCATCTGTTGTGCACATTATCAGGGCCAGTGGCGCTGTTGCTTAGTTGTTTTATATGCCACTTAACTTCTTTGGTTGAAACCTTTTTCCATTTGGTGGTGGTTGACGGATGTAACATACCCTTCTTCACTTTTTTGGTTTGTCGTGCAACTTGCTTGTGAAACGGGAGCGTGTCAGGGACTTTGAAGTAGACCTCCTTTTCGAAATAATCCGCGAAGATATCTGCCTTCTCTTTGCCTGTCGCTGCTGTAGTGTTGTTGTAGTGCATTGTGCTCGGGTATGTTTGCTTGATCCGTTTGTTGTGGAACTTTCGCACCGTGAGCCATACTTCATCCGAATACATCTTCTTTCGGCAGAGGGATTCCATTAATTGCTTAAACTTGTGCCTTCTGTCGTTTCTAAGTGAGTTTGCTAGCAGAACTTTTGAATTGTAGAATTGTTGTTTGTCTGCTGCTTCTCCAGTCTTTTTCCAACGTCGATATGCTTGATGTTTGTTCTTAATCAGACGTTGGGAAGCTTCACTTACTTTGAAGTTTGTATTCGGCATTGATGCTGTGGGGATGGCTACGTTGGAGGCAGTGGTGATACAGTTTGTGACGAACTCTGCATAGTCGTCTATGTCACCGGGTAAGGTTGGACCTGGCTTGTTCCATGTTTTCAGTTTTTCGTCCAGTGTGTTTCTGTATTTCTTCCAGTTGGCTCTCTTGAAGTTGAGCGATATTCGTGGTGATGCGGCGTTGACTTCAGCTCCGATCGAGATATCGAAGGTTAATGGCTTGTGTCCACTGAGAAGTCCTAATGTTGGATGTGTTTCGACATTTGATACGAATGAAAAGAGTGGTTGACTGGCTAAAATCCAGCCAATTTTTTCTTCGTACTCGTTCTTTTCAAATGTGGTAATAGCATCGTCGACACAGTTCAAAAAGCCTTCTGTTATGACCTACATCTTATCAGATGTGATCATAAGGATTTTACCCTACATAGATCATATGTGCACGATGGTTCTCCTTTCCTGTCATATACATATACATGTTCTCTTTCTCTCTCGTCACATACACATATGTATATATGACGAATTTTCTGCTCCTTTCTTCTTCATTTCAAATGATGGATTTATCCTTTTCGATCTCAGTCATCTGGTAAATTTCCAGAAAGCCATGTCAAGGGATCAGTTGATCACTATATAAACTCGGTTTTACAGTTGAATAAATATATATGATCTTGTCCTCATACAAGAAATAACATCGTCACAAGTGGTGCACTGGCCGTTCTTACTGACAAGCCAACTACACAGTAAACGATCCGGGAACTCGAAATGGCAGAGAACAAGAAGCAGCATTACACTCGTAGCGTCGCTAACAGCCAAGGGTTCAAGCTACTAACTGATGATCAGCAGAAAATGAGTCAGGGATCAAATTCTGTAAGCCAAGATTTGTTGGAATTCAAACAAGTCGAGGAAGCTAAAGCTGAGCAGGATTCAGTAACTGAGCTTCAACAGCAGCCAATGGGCATGACGGAAATGATGCATCAGTTATTGATCAAACAAGATCGAATACTGGAAGAGAACCAACAGTTAAGACAGGAGATGGCCCTACAACAGTCGACTATCAGTTACCTTCACGAAACAATTACAACGATGCGACACAGTCAAATGAACGAAGATATTGACAAAAATGGAAAAAGCTCGCCGATTTCGAACAGCATCAGTGCGGTGGACCAGGGAGTGAAGGAACAAACAACTAAACAAATACAATCTAAGCGAATTAAACAATTACTCGATTCAAAAGCATTTTCGGGTTCAACATCACAAGAAATCTCCGATTGGATCGAAGATTTCGAAGGTAAATGTGATGATCTCGCATTGGAAGGTGCTCAGCGTTTTTCAATCGCTGTTGGGCTCTTAGCCGATAATGCTAAATTATGGTACGACACTCAAAAAGATACAATCAAAGATTGGGAAACATTAAAAATGAAGTTGAGTACGTACTTCAAACTCATCACTGGAACTGATCAATTCGAGTTGCAACAAAAGCTACACAATCGACGAAGAAGAAATGATGAACCGGCCATTGATTATTGTCATCAAACCCTCAAACTGTGTTCGAAAGTTGACAAAAATATGGATGAGATGATGCGAATCAAGCATCTTGGTAAGGGTCTTGACACAGACACTCGATTACATATGGACTTGAAGAACCCCAATACTACCGAGGAATTTCTTCAAGCACTAATTAAGTATGAAAAATGGAAAGGGGAAAAGCAACAGCAGCAAACAGGTACATTTACTAGCCGGCGAAAGAGTTTCTTCAATAGAACTACAGAACAACCTGCTGTAACAAAACAGCAAGAGGGTGGAGAAAGTCCAAATCAACAACAGCAACAGCAATCACAGCAGAATCTCACTCACTACCAACGAGCTGACTCTAGCAAAACACAGCACAACAGAAAGACGTACGAAGGATGCTGGACGTGTGGTGACATGGATCACTATAGGTCTGAATGTCCAAAAAACTACTAGGGAGTGTGTACGATGGTCACACTCTCTACAAGCATACATATCCATCGTTAATCGTCATCCATATCCTCGTTAATAGTCAACCAATGCAGGCAATGATAGATACGGGTGCAACCACATCATTGATATCACAAGCAGCACTAAATCGCATTCCAAATACGGAGAGTAAACCAAGTCGAGCAGTTGCTACATTAGGAGATGGGAAAACCAGAATTTTGGTCAATGGCATAGTCGAATTGGACATCATGGTTAAGAATATCAAAACTATGATATCATTTCTCGTGGTCGAAGCACTAGGTGCAGAAGTCATACTAGGATTGGATTGGTGCACATTGAATAACGTCAACGTGAATGTGGGGCAGCGGCAAGTGGAGATGAATATTAGACAATCGGAAATGGTTAGCGTACCTTTTCTGGAAAATGGCTCAATTGATGCTTGTGTTGCTACCGATGTTGAGTTACTACCGCACCATGAACATATGGTAAAAATGCAAGTGCCAATTTCTAATGCTATGATCGTTTCTTTTTTATCGAATTACAAAACATGCTCAAAATTAAAAATTGAAGTTCCGGATGCTTTGGTTGAAATAAAAGATTTCACATTTTATATGCTTGTTTCTAACTGCAGCAAAAACGTTCACAGATTGACGAAAAATACTAAGCTAGGTATTATAACATATCAATCACAGGACGACTTGACTTACAAGTTTAATACCTTCGATGAATTCTTTACTACTCCGGAAACCAAGAAGGTGCACATGATAACGTTAGATCAGCAAAATAAGCATGATTCACCGTCACTTGATAAAGTACTGGAAGGATTAGTGAATCACATCCACGATTTACAACACCGGAAAGATTTCTTGGAGATCTTACAGCGAAATAGAAGATCATTCGACACCTCCAAAATGACTAAAGCAAATACCAGAATCCATCACACCATCAACACAGGTGACCATCCGCCAATCAGCACCAGACCATATTACAAAACGGTTCAACAGCGAAAGACAATGCATGAAGAGATAGGAAAACTAGTGGATCAAGGAATTTTACGGAAATCTACATCTCCCTGGTCATCACCAGCGTTGCTAAAGCAGAAACCGGATGGTAGTTATCGATTCTTGGTTGATTTTCGACGATTGAATGCAATTAGCAAAAAGGATTCCTATCCACAGCCATCTGCGGAAGAAATGTTACACCGATTGGCTGGACATAAGTACTTTACAAAACTCGACTTACGTTCCGGATATTTTCAGATACCAATACAGGAGTCTGATATCCCTAAAACGGCAATAATAACTCAAGATGGCTTGTACGAATTTACGGTTTTAGCTCAGGGACTCATGAATGCGCCTCCCACCTTTCAACGAGTGATGAACGAGTTATTAGCGAATGGGCGTTGGGATTATGTGGTGGTTTATCTGGATGATATTTTGGTTTTTTCCAAAACAATAGAAGAACATAAAAAACACGTTGACGATGTCATCTCAACATTGCACCAAGTAAACTTCCAGGTATCACCACCCAAATGCTTCATAGCAGTAGAAACGGTCGAATTTCTAAGTCATATTGTTACTGGCGAAATGGTAAAACCATCACCAGAAAAAATCAAAGCGGTAGTCGATATGGCCCCACCGAAAACCCTTTCTCAAGCAAACAAGTTTATAGGTAAAATTAATTATTACCGAAAATTTATACATGATTTTGCACGGATCGCCGCTCCAATCCATCAGGTTACTAACAAAACAAGAACGAAACGCAATGAATTCCGATGGGGTGATGAGCAGCAACATGCGTTTAATGAATTTAAAACGATTCTAACCACGGCACCTCTGTTTCTTGACTTCCCAGATCGATCAGTACCATTCATACTTTCAACAGATGCTAGTGATATCAGAATTGCTGGTATTCTCAAACAGCATACAGTCAATGGATTGAAAATATGTTATTATAAATCAAGGTTATTAAGTGACACAGAGAGAAGATACTCGGCAACGGAACGTGAAGCTCTAGCAATATATTGGTGTTTGTCCGAATTAAGAAACTATATCGGTGATAGTGAGTTAATCATTGAGACAGACCACAAACCATTAGCGAATATGCACAAGAAGAAAACCTATGGAAATAAACGAATCGATAGTTGGTTGCTAAAACTGCAGGATTTGCTGCCGCAGATTAATGAAATAAAGTACCGACGTGGCATTGATAATGCGGGACCGGATTATCTTACTCGATGTGATATAGATGAAACAAACTCCGATAATACAAAACTCAATGCCATAACAAGATCAATGACACGTGCAGATGGGCAAAACAATATATCAAAACCAAATCCAACTATAGACACAACCAACATGGCAAGATCAGTAGTAAAGTTGAACAAACCTATAAACGATTTGAGCGTTGAGAACATCAAGGTTGAACAAATCAACGACGAGAATATCCAATTGATAATATCAAAGATTCGAGCAAAGAAACCAACCGACAATTTTATCATTCACAATGAATTATTATATCGTTTAGTTGTGAAGAAAAAAACTGGCGTGAAAAGTAGAGTTTTATACCTACCCAAATCTCTGGTCGGTGACATGCTCAAGTTGTATCATGACCACCCAATGAGTGGACATTTTGGAGTTGGGAGGACACTGCATAAAGTTAGAACAAAATTTTGGTGGCCAAATATGCGTCAATCAATCGAACACTATATATCATCGTGTAGGTTGTGTTCGCAGTTCAATATCGTTCGGAGTAAACCTGAAGGTCATCTCAGATCCTTTGAACCGCCAGCGGAAGTGTTTCAGGTAATGCATATGGATTTTTGGGGGCCAGTTCCTACGTCATCGCAAGGTAATCGGTATGTGATTGTACTGACAGACAATTTGTCCAAATATGTAATGGCAAGAGCAACATCGGATAACACCGCCATAACCACTGCCGAATTCATCGTCAATGATTTCATCCTAGTACATGGAGCGCCGGAACGGATAATTACCGACAATGGAGTGCATTTTAATAATGCACTAATGGAAACGATCGCACAATCTATGAACATAAATCACGCGTTTTCTGCTGTATATCATCCAGCCACCAACGGACAAGTAGAGCGTTTCAACGCTACGTTTTGTACGCAGTTGGCGAAGTATTACAATGAGAATACGAGCGATTGGGATGAATACCTTCAATCAATAGTTTATGCCTATAACACCGGCATACATAGTACAACAGGTTATCCACCGTATGAACTCGCATTCGGTAGAAAACAGAAAAGTCCATTTGACTCTAATTCACGAGATATTACTTTTACCAAACCAAATGAGTTTTATGAATATCTACGAAAGACACGTCGTATTCTTATGAATGCAGCTCGTGTTGCTATACGTCGTCACCAAAACACAACAAGACAACGGTATAACAAGAATCGCAAAGACGCCTCATATGATCTTGGGGACTTGGTATTTCTTAAAGTGTGTACAAGTCGTCAAAAACTTGACGAACGATGGACAGGACCATGGCAAGTGATTGACAAAAAAGGAGAACAACACTACTTAATTCAACTGGATGGGGAAGAAAAAACCACATGGGCTCATATAAATCAACTAAAACCATTAGTTGAGCGGGCAATGTAATCATTGTGTACAATTAACTACAACATGATAATCAACGGTAGCAATCAGGTTCATTGTGAGGAGGTGTGGCAACTTCTTCAATAGAATACAAATAAGAATTTGTGGTGTGGCAACGCAAGTGGCTTTTGTTTGATGGTCTGTTTTATTCTTGATGCGCCGAATGCGCATCTTTGTTGTTAGGGGGAGATGTTATGACCTACATCTTATCAGATGTGATCATAAGGATTTTACCCTACATAGATCATATGTGCACGATGGTTCTCCTTTCCTGTCATATACATATACATGTTCTCTTTCTCTCTCGTCACATACACATATGTATATATGACGAATTTTCTGCTCCTTTCTTCTTCATTTCAAATGATGGATTTATCCTTTTCGATCTCAGTCATCTGGTAAATTTCCAGAAAGCCATGTCAAGGGATCAGTTGATCACTATATAAACTCGGTTTTACAGTTGAATAAATATATATGATCTTGTCCTCATACAAGAAATAACATCGTCACACCTTCGTTGATCAGTTCTTGGAGCTGTTTGCCTTTTGCGTTCGTTCTTCTAGATCCCATCTGGAGGAGTGCTGCATTCAGATCTCCAACGATAATACAGTCGTTGTTGATTCCGTATAACTCGTGGAAAATGTCGATGTTTAGTCTTGCTCGAGGAGGGACATATATCGACGCTATCAGCATGGATTTGTATGTTTTTGTTTCGAGTTGGACTGCTATCAGTTCATTTTCTTGCGATGTCTTGCAGATCAGTTCTCGGCATTTGATTTGCTGCTTCACTGCCAGTAGTACTCCTCCACCAGGTTTCCCTACTCGGTCGTTTCTGAAAATGTTGTAGCCTTTCAGAGCGAACTGACGTTCAGTCTTCAGGTTAGTTTCATTAACGGAGATGACGTCGTATTGGGAGAATCTGGCCAAGAGTTCATCGCGGTGTTTGGTGATAGAGGTGACATTGATATGGCACACTCTAATCATCGTCGTTGGAGATCTTTAGGTCTTTGTTTTCGCCAGTCGAAGCATCGAGAGAGTTGTTGGCTTCTGCGAGTTTTCGTTTCGCTGGTTCTTTCTGTTTGTTGGTCGTTGCGGGGTCCTTTTGTTTGTTGTGCCTTACCTTAGCTGTTTGACTCTCTTTCGAGGCGTCTACATTGCTGCTTTGCACAACAGTCGTAGCCTTGTCGTTTGATGAAGTCGAATTTGTCGTCGCTGTCTGTTGTTTAGTCTTAGTTGTTGTGTTTGTCGTCGTCAGTTGATCTGTGGTGGTTGTTGGGTTTGTCGTCGTCGGTTGATCTGTAGTAGTTGTTGGGCTGGATGTGGTCGCTTCGCTGGAGGTAATAAGCTTTTCCAGTTTTTCGACCTTTTGTTGAAGAGTGATGAATAGTCGGTTGGTTGTCTCTTCGATGATCTTTTCCATATGGCTGCTAAGCATGGTGATGATCTCGTCGAGAAAGTCCTTGGTTACATGTTGTTGCTGTGGTTGATCGGATTGCCGGAGAGGCGGAAAATCGGTGTCGCTCTGGATTGCCGGAGCCCATGCATTGGATTGACGTGTTGTGGTATATTGGTTGACCAAGTTTTGCGCTTTTTTCTCCTGCTCCTTATATTTTGGGCAGTCTACAGACGAGGCGAGATGGTTGCCGTTGCAGTTGCAACATTTGGACGTGTCTGTAGGCGCTGTGCATTGGTCCAGCCGGTGGTTTTCGCCGCAACGTGCACACACCTGCTTTTTGGTTTTGCAGTACTTAGCTAGATGGTTGTATTGCATACAGATATAGCATTGCACTGGCTTGGTGTTTTGTGTGGCTGGCTCGGCTGGAAAATGCATCGAATCCACTTGTAGACCTGTGTGGACAAATGTATTTCGGTTTTCAGCATCGGCGAACATCACTTTCACTGTTCGTGTCGGATTGTTGCCGTCTTTGTTTGTTAACCGTGTAACATTCGTCGCTTCAAGTCCTAATTCCTTGAGTGCTGTCATGATGCGATCTTCGGGGATTTCGAGATCGACTCTCTTGACGAAAGCCACCTTTTCGGTGTCTTTGATCCGCTGAATCGATCGCGGCACGAACAGCTTAGCGGCAGGCTGATTATTTGTGTTGAGGATAGCTTGGAAGTCGTTCAATAGCCGGTTGAAGGATTTCACGTCGTATGCATATAACGTGAAAGTTCCTGTGCGGCTGAGTTGACTGTCTTTCAGCTTGATGTCGCTCATTTGCTGCTTGATTATGTCGTTAAGCTGCAGCTTGTTTAAATTTGTGTTTTCGAGGATGAGGGGAGCGATGGTGAATTTTGGTTGGATGGTGCTTTTGACTGGTCGGTTGATTTGTGGAGTGGAAACAATGGGCGCGACGGATAAGAGATGATGGCCATTGTCTAGGCTTTGGTGCTGTTTTCCTGCGCGAGAGCGCTCACCTCCTGCCTTTGGAGGCATAAACTTGGCCAAGAACCTGTTTTGGATGCGTATAAAAGACTTGGTGGATCTTGGTAGAGATTGATTGGATTCACCGGAGGGCGAGAGAGAGAGAGAAAAGGTTCTTTGTTTGAACCGAAAGTCGATAGAATTAACTTATATAGACGAAAGAGAATGCGACTGATCGCTGGCTCGTCTGAGAGAGGAATGGATATAGATATATATACACGAGTGAACGAACAGTGGAGACGTGCATAGTTGAGGTTTACATAATTCAGTTCAGCTCAAAAGAGATGTTCGAACATATCCTTGTGAACTACAAAGTAAACTGTGTAGATCTCGAGAACTTTCATGAGCATCGATCTCATGTTGTAGAAAAAAAAGAATTTGAGGAATCCTAATAGGATTTTCCGAAGAAAAGGTACGATCTTTGTCAAAAAATATTTTACCAACGAATCACAAGATATTCCCACAGCTATTCAGTTTTTACAGAAAGATCTATGTACAAATGGACCCTTTTCTAGCCATTTTGTATCTCATGGATGAAAAGAGTTTGTTAGGCTTTCAACATAACAGTTACCTATCGTCCATTTGTATACGTTACTAATATGATTGACTAAGTATAAACTCTGCTAGATCAGACTGAGAGAATAAAAGTTTAGATTTTCTTTGCGGACTTTGGATGACATGTGACTCACAATTGTCCCACTAAACCGAAAGTGCATTTTCCTGCCTAAATCATCAATGTCCGACATTGCTGTTTGAACATCTAAGTTATAGAAAATTTGTTTCAAACAAGTTTATGACTTTTGTCAATATTTTCTTTCCATTTTGAGGGCGATAGTATAGCCTTATACGTTCAGATACATAACACTACTCACTCTCACCCATCCTCAAGATGAACCGAGGAAAGCATCGTGGAAACTTTGGTGATGGTGTCCATTACAGGGACCGGCAAACAAACAGACAAACTTTCTTCTTTATACATAGAGAGAGAAGATAAATAGTATATTAGTTGAATCAGCGAAAACGAAAGCAATAGAAATAGGCGTAAGCATTAAATAAAATTTTAGCTTAAGTTCCATATGAAGTGAATTAATCATTTCTTATCTGTAAGTTTTCTCTTTTTTGTAATCTTAATAATTCATTTCTTTGATCCATATAAAGCTAAAAGGGTCAATGATTCAATTATAAATGAAAGATATTTTTGAAACATACTCTATTGGTTACTTCTAATAATTGAGCAATTCGATCCGGAAAATTTTCAATTGGATCAAAATATTGTAAATGCATTCGAGAATCCAATTGTGCTTGTCTTTCTAATTCGCTTACTTTTTTCAAACCTAAAATAATCACTCATATTTACGTGATAAAGTAAAACCATTTTTCTACCTGTCCAACATAGAAACCGTCTTAACATGAAAGGAAACATTTCTTCATTATCAATTCTCTCTTGTTGAGCACGACGAAAATTATCATTGATTATCGAAATAAACATACTCATACAAACAAAAACAGTTAAGAACATAAATAAAGCAAATGCCAATGGGCCAAGAATAGCATTAGCTGCAATTAATTCACCTGTATCAAACTTCATTAAGGTCATTTCAGAAAGCATTTGTGCGGTGGATAATAAAGTTGAACATGACCATACTGTTGAAACAAATAATAAATAAAATAAACAAATAAAAGACATAAATACAATTGAAAACATAATTGAAAATGAAGCCATTTCTTTGCCAGCATATTGAAGTGTTTTACTAAATAGTGATAAATAAGAATTAAATCGACAGAAATGTATAAATTTCATCGTTCCAAAAAAACAACAAAAGCCAAAAAGGAATGTTAAAAGATCATTAATATAAATTGCAAGTTCGAGATTTATATAAGCATTTCCATTAGTTTCTTCAAATAATTTACTGATACGATTTGATTCATGAAAACGCCACATATAAACTCCAACACATGCCCATGAACAAATTATTATACCGCATTCGATTAAAGACCAAAATTGAAAAAAATATTTCATTCTCAATCGAAAAATGAGTCGAATTTCATTGATCGTAAAATAAATAGTAAAACATACATAAATAATTGTACAAATCAATTGGTATAACGATGTGAACACTTAATAAGATAAATAGAAATTATTTTCAACAGATATGAGCGAAGTCACATATCCCGTGTTTCGAAGAACGGAATATGTGGCACCACTGAAAGACATTCAACTTACCAAAGAAATTAATTGGTTCGAAGCGATATGTTGGAAAAACTCCACTTGATGATAGAAATTCCAAAAGAAAAGTCACTGAAGTAAATAATTGAACATTGGGATTGTATAATGTTGATTGAATTAAAATAGCTCGAGTTTTTTCATCAATCCATCCTAATTGATGAAGTTCAGATAAATTACTTGTAAGATCCGATAAAGAACCGAGAAATTCGTATACATAACCACCTCCACCATATGTTCCATGTTCACCCCTATAAACATAGCTGTTTAATTTATCGCTACTATTGTATTTAAATGCTCCAAGAATTGATGAACTATATGCTCTTCCTGAGGATGTTTCATTAATCCATCCTGGTCCAAATGAACGCTTTTCTTCATTGAAAAAACTATAGTCATCTTCACATATTGAAATAACATGTTCGCCAGAACATTTCTTTGATTGAACACGCAATTGTCTCATTACTGACCAGCCAATTAATCGATTAGATTTATCATTTAGATATCCGGTTAAATTTTGTGCAACATCATTATTATACCATTGTTGAGTGCGAATTTTTGATGTGAAAATATTCTCTATCCATTGCCAAGATTGAGCTACTGTTGAAATCTATAAACAATCATTGTTTTATGAAATATGAATATTAATTGAAATCAAACCTTTAGATAATTGTTATCCAATTGCCTTAGATTAAGAAAATAGTTTCGTAAATGGTTCACTTGAAGAAAACTATTTTGATCACGATTAGCAAAACTTATGAGAAAAATCAATATTAAAAATACTAAATAGGTGCCAAATTCACGAATTATTGACCACATTTGAATTTCTTTTAGACGTTCTTCACGAGCATAATGTACTTCATTTTCATTCAGACGATTAACTTGTTTTGAAGATCGAGAAGTAAATAAAGAATAATCCTACATAAATCAATATTCGATTTTTTTTACCAAAGTTTTAATATGCAAAATCAATATACCGTGAATGAATGAAGATAATCTTCATCATACTCTAATTCGAAGTTATTTACATCTAAATATTCACTTGCTTCTCTATCATCATCGGATTTTCGACAGAAACAAGCAAAAAATATCGCCAAACATACAATCTGCAATGAAATATGTGACAGAAGAAAAAAATCAATTATAGAAATGTGAAAGCTATACTTTGATAGGTTGTGTGAGAACAATTGATGAAAAAAGTCCCGAAAGAATTGATGTTAACCATTTTTGAGTTTTTAAATCTCCAAATTCAATACCGCGAGCAATGATGAACAGGATGGAAATGCCAATAATTATAAATGAAAGTGCATAAGCAATGAATAAAACCCACCAAGGAAATGTTATTTGTGAAAATCGAGTTTTTTTAGTTGACTCAGTATCTCTTGGACTACTAAAAAATGATAAGTCAAACCTAAGAAAATGGTTTTATGATGAAATATATACAAACATTTGTGCAGATGGTTTTAATTCGTATAGAGCTTGACGTAATGCTGAAACTTGTTGACGAGGTCGAATACGTCGAAATAACTGAACAATCAAAAGACTTGGAACTATGGAAAATAGTTCAACCATAATACCGATTCCAATCTAAAGCGGAATTTTCAGAAATCAAACATTTCTTCAAGCGAATTTTTATAATTCGTAGATCTTCGTAAGATTTTTGTAATAAATATAGCTGAGATTGTCTAAGAAGATTTTTTTAAATAAACAAATTCCGATTCAGTATGCATGAGTTATTTGAAAAAGAAAATGGATATCATTAGGAATGCTCTCATATAAACCATGTTTTTCATCGAGAAATGTTCTCAACTAGAATTTGTTGTATTAACAAAGGCCAACATACCTGCTGAGGGCTTATATAGAGTGGGCCGAATGCTAAACTGGCAGTGTCTGTTCTGTTCGATGTTTTAGCTTCAGTTGATAAATCATAATACATTATGTTGAGTAACATTGAAATATATAATAAAACAAAGCAACAAGTACATCGTTGTGCACAAGTGAACTTATTTGATGGTGGACGAGAGAAAATTGAAAACCATAAATGACCATCAGACACACTATGGTATGTTTTTTTTGATAATACATAAGAAAATGTATGTTTTTCCGTTTCACTAGCAACTAGTAGAACACGTTCAATCTAACAAAAAGTAGATAGAAGGAAAAACTGATAACTAGAGCGAAAAGAATAACATACAAGTCCATCATCTGTTTCGACTGCAAACCAGCGTTGTGCGATAAAATAAAATTTCTCCATTGTTTGTAAATCTCGAACAATAATGTATTTCAAAAACCATGATGCTGATGAATTTTCACCAGAATTATCATGCCAAATACGAATATAATTCAATAAACCTAATGATCTTCAAAAGCAACTCAATTTTTTCTATTTTTGAACTTTTCAGAAAGAATAAATTGATTTACTTGGGCACAGCCATAACAAATGCGTCAATTCCACCGCGTTGGAAAATTTTCCGATGAGAATCATCAAATGTTCGAACTTGGGTGTCTCCACTATCACCCGATAGAACGAATTGAACCTATTTAAAGAAGAAATTTTTCAAAACTAAAATCGTCGTTGAAAAGCGTTTACTTTAGATTTTGTTCCAGCATTGACTCGTTGGCCAGTAAAAACAATAATTTGATAAAAATATTCGTGAGATTTTATATTATCAGCTAATGGTGTTACTCCCAACTAAAATTACCAATTGGAAATAAACAAATATGTTAGTTACTTAAAATTACCTTTTCAATATTTTTTTTATCTTTATAATGGCTATAAATCATCAATAAAAGATAGATGACTGTTATACAAATAATTGTTAAATAAATTGTTTTATTTCGCATAAAATCAGCATTGGCAAAAACATAACTCCAATTAATCGGTGCAGGTAAAACAATAAAACCGCCAGCAAATGTTGTTAAATGTGTTGATAAACATTCAGTTTCATAATGATTTGTCAACGAACCAACCTATTCGTAATTAAAGATCAATTATTTTGTTAGATCTCGTGTTCGCAACTAAATAACATGCTCTTGGTAATTCTTATGAGCTTCACCGGTATCTGAACCTATTAAGGATTTATTTTGCTCACCTATATCTAGTTTATTTGCCTTACACTCAATCACCGTTCAATTCTGTAAATAAGTTCGTTGAACTTGTCGTGCATTCCTATTAGTCTACAGAGTCTGAGATATTCTCGAGATTTCCAATGTGGATGATTCAATTGAGACTTCAAAAACACTTACTACCAAACCATCTGATTTCCAATTATTATCCGAATCCAGATAATAACATCCTGATGTATAAATACGCAATTCGTAATTGGATGTAAAGTTAAATTTTTCATCTGTGATTGGATAAGTGTTCACTGAAGAATTATTTGAACAAAATTCAATAATTTCTGTCGAATTTAATTCTCTTAAACCAAATATTAATGATTGATGATCAGATGTTTGTTGATTATTAATGAAATATGTATAAATATTTTCACTTGTCAAAGCTAAAATTTTAAGAAATAAAATGATTTGAATAAGAAGAAGAGATTACTTGAAGGACAAAACAAAGCCCATCCATCAATAAGATTGATTGAACTATTCAATTGAGGTGATTGATCAAATTTATAAATAAACAAATACGCAAGACTTGTATTCAAAGGATGAATTTCAAAATGAACTGAAATCGAAGGAGAAGTTGTGATATTAATATATTGTAAATAAAATAAGAAATTATGTGAAGATGAATTAATTGAAGTGACATTTTGTAACTTCATTGATGAAATAATTACATTCGGATCACGAGGAATAAATATGTGAATTGATTGATTTTCATTTGTTTGAAATGAAATTGCATTTCCAGATGAATCAAGTAATGAAAGTGAAATTAATGTTGAACTATTTGTATTTGATGAGATTTTTGAATTACCAAATGGAGCAAGTGGTTCCATTGTTGACTAAAAATAATCAATAAACAATCAAATGATTAATCTAAGTGAATATTTTACTCGAATTGATATTGAAGAACTATCTGTGATGTTCAAAGTAAAATTAGATGGAATTTGAAATTGTGCACTTCCCACTTGTTTGATTAATTTATTGCTAAGTGATTGACTATCAATCGTTTCTAATGACATAAATGTTTGTGGTGTATTTATCGTATAATTTTGACCAATATTTAAATAGATATTTAATGAAGATGTTATTAGTGAAACTATTTGTGTAACTTGAGCTTTGATAATATTCGCTAATTCCTGTTGATAATAGAGATTTCGATCGGATTGTGTTGTTCCTGTGGAATAATCATTTGCATTGACTCGCGATAAATCTAAATCAAGTACAGGTGTACGATCTTGTAATATTCCATTAACACCCTGAAAATTTTCATTAAAATTATTCTTTTATTTTCTAGAAACTATTTTCTTACAGTTAAAACATTTGTCGCACATTGTGTGAGTTGAGTTGATATTGTTTGAATATCTTCATATGTCATTTTTCTAGCCATGGAATACAAAGCAACAGCTAATTGATAACATTGACTTGATGCAATCGTCTAAAATTTGAAATAAGATAAGAAGAAAAATTTCAGTAGCGACACGATCGGAGCGGGAGACCCGTTTCCTGCTTTTGTGCTCCTTCGCGTCACTACTAAGAAAAATGCAAATTTCTTTCTTTTATTTACTAAAGCAGATCTTGTTAGTTGACTCGTTGCTTGAGTTAATTGAGCTAATGATGATGCCTGTAATTGAATACTACTTGTTGTTGTAATCGAAAGATTTGTTAAAAATGACATCATATAATCTCGAACATTTGCTTGAGAATTTAATTCTTTCTTATATTCATTCATTGCTGTTTCATTCATTGGTGTTGAAGTCTGTTTTAATGATGAAATTCAACTAGTAAAATATTTCTTTTATTTTATTACCGTTTGTGAACTTGAGCTTCCTAATGATGATACTGAGATACTCGCCGCGGGAATACCACCTTTAATAAAAAATAGAAAATGTATAGTACTCGAAATCAAAAACTATTTCCTAGAGAGTAAACACCATATTCGATGAATCGATATGAGCTGACTTGGTGTTTTAAAGAAACGAAATCATAATAATATCATCAAAAGTTCGGTGTTATATTTTCCCCCATCAATCGATTTCGTATTGCGTTAATAGATAGTTCATCAGATCTACTACTGGTTGTTTTTAAATTCTATATTTTTCTTTTCTGCAACAATAGAAATACACGCTGATACCTAATCCTTAATTTCATCATAAGAGAATGTTATTATTTACTTGAAACAGCGTTGTTTACACTTCCGGTATTCATACTATTGAATTGTTGAGAAAGTGAAGTAACAACTTGTCCAATGGCATTTTGATTTTTACTTGAAAGTAATTGAACAAATTGATTATTATTTGTTTCAGTTGATGGAGCTTGCAAAACATTAATAAAATCTGTGACATCTGCCAGATTAACTGTGACACTAATCGAGGACATACTCAATTCTGTTGTACAATCAAAAAGATCTCGAATAACAATAATAATATTAACTAATGATGTTTCATTATTTCCAGATGGTAATCGAACTTGAAAAGTCGATACCGGTGAAAATACAATCATTGTTCTCTGCGTCGGATCTGTTGTCCAAGCTAAAATTATTTAAAAAAAGACTTTTTGATATTTTTTTACAAAGAATAAATATACTATATAATGAATAATCTTTTATTCCATTTGTATCAAGCCAATTTAAGCATGTAACAGTAAATAAAGTAGTGATTGTACCATTTAAAGGATCAATTGAACATGAACCATTTGTAGGAGGTTCATTAATGATAAAATTCTTTGTATTTGAAACTATTTCAGATGTAAATGTATAAATAACTTCAAATTGCCAAAGACTTGTTTGAGGATTATTCAGAAATAATAGATTTGTACTTGTAAAATTAATTGTGTTTGTACCGAAAAACCAAATATTATTATATAAATTCATTTGGTTAAATAAAATCCATTGCGTTGAATTAGAAGATGAATTTTGTAGTCCTTGATAGACATTCCATTGAATATTTTGAATATTAACACAATTACTAATACAAGTAGAATATAAAGCAATTTGTGTTGTAGGATTAACAAGTTGGAATTGTGGACTTCCGACACACATTTGTGATAGAACGCAACTAAATTATCAGAAACCTTAGTTCAAAGATTTTGAAACAATCTGTCATTATGGGTCGTGGGTGTGAAAGTTTATTTACGTTCATTTCATTACTTTGAATACTATTTTTCGTGACTAAGGGCAGAAATTTGGACCCATTTCCCTCTCCCCACAGATGTGACCGACACCGCTGACCCGCCCTCATCCTTCATAGATTGTAGGATCCGCCTTTTCTCCTGTACTTGAAGACTTCTTCTAGGTCGTGTTATTAAAAAACGAATGAAATTACCCGATGACTATTAGTTTTGGAATTTTATCTGCTATTTTAACAAGTAGATAACCTGTGCTTGTAATCGAAGGATTTTGACGATTGGTCATAGAAATCATAAATTGATATGTTTGATTTGTTCGAAGTGAACCAGAAAGGATTGTTAAAGATGAATTAGGTGATAAAGTTGAATTTTTATATATTAATGTTGTTCGATTATCTTCATTTCACAAAATAGATACATATTTATCATGAAAACAATGAAATTCTACCTGATCGATTTAATAAACACGATGGATTAAGAAGATCAGTACGAGAATCATCAATTGTCAATAATGATCCGTTAATATTTGGAAAATTATTTAAATCATAAATTCGACAATAATATTTATAATTCCAATTCTAAACGATAAAATCATATGAGAGACGGTACTATAATGTCCTTATACGATATATATTTACGGCGGCATCAAATTGATCTTGATCAGGATCAATAGAATATGTTCCAGGATCAAACAAAATGTCTTGTTCATAACCATACGTCATCAATGATAATGCTAATTGAATGAAATTTACTGTAATATCTGATTGAATGATTTGAACATAAACTGCTGATGAAGCTTTTAGACTAGGTGTATCAGGCATCGTTACATTTAATGTTAGTTTATAAATTCCATAGCCCAAAGTTTTTGCTGGAATATACAGTTCACTCGATGTGGTTGTGATTGTTTGATCCATTTGAAGTTGATCTGAACAAATTGAAGTGCAGTTAGTTATTGTCCATTTGGTGATTGTTGAAAGTGAACCACTACAATTGAATACAGTCATTGAAGTAATAGAGAAATCTTGACTTCTTCGATATTGTAATGGAGATACTAAAGATGATTGTCCAGGAGTAAGTGTGATGGTTGGAGCATAACAACCTAACAGAAATAAATATCTAGAAACAATCTTCTATATTTACTATGTTACTTTGTTGAGTAGTCAATACTTGTGAAGTTGTCGTTGTTGTTGAGAACAGCTGATTAGATTGTGTTACGTTCTTGGTAGTACTTACATTTGTACTTCTAGTTGAATTTATTGTTGTGTACATATTACTTGTAATAGATGGTATTAAACTTGAAACGGTAACCGTAGACATAATTTCAGTAGTTTGAATCGCACTTGTTTCCATAGTTCCCTCTACTGAAAGGAGGGTATACACAGAATTTGAGCTAAAGTTCGTTCGTTTGTCCGTACGTTCGTCCGTACGTTTGTCCGTACGTTTGTCCGTACGTTTGTCCGTACGTTTGTCCGTACGTTTGTCCGTTCACGTACTTTACACTTACGAAAAAGCAATCAATATCTCTGGCTAGGAAGGGTTGACCGAAGGGTAATCGGGGTCGAGGATCACGAATCCGTCGTTAGATTTTCGAAAAAAACTTTTTGCTTCGTTTTTTGGGACAAAGGATCACTTTTTTGCAAAAATATTTTTTTTATAAGGGTTGACCGAAGGGTAATCGGGGTCGAGGATCACGAATCCGTCGTTAGATTNGTAGATCCATTCTGACTCCGCATCTATAGATTCATGAACGAAAACTCAAAGGTCCATGGTTAATATCGCACAACCGGAGTAAAGCACTGCCTCCTTGAAAGGAAATAAACAGCCAATGCAGATCTCTGAAGGTCAAAGAAACGTCCTTTTATAAGGCGTCCCTAGTCGATTTCCAGCGAAAATAAGCTTTTGAAAAAAATCGCGGTCATCGCTGATTGGCCGAAATCGGCCAATCTGAATTCGCGGGAATGTGCCTTGAAATAAAGGCTTTTTCCAAGACTGGTTCCCACGGTAGCATTAACCTGAGAGATGAGTATCTTACCAGGGTACATGTAATTATTGCTGAGTCGTATAGATAATTATTTGTCAGAAAGAATCATAGATTATGATTATTTAACCGTTTATGAGTTAATTAAGTGGAAATTAACGGTTAAGTGCAACCCGTTAACCGTTAATATTAACGGGTTCCGTTAATTGACGGCCGTTAATTAAGCAGAAATAAATTAGTTGGTCCACCCCTACTTCGGAGGTTGAAATACAGGTATAAAGTACTCTACTAGAAGTACAAGTACAGGTATATCCATGCACGTACAAGTACTTGTACGTGTACTTTGTGTACGTGTACTTGTCCTACCTCTGCTTCAAATCCATGATAATACAGAGATTTGAGTTTTAAGATGTTTACATTGATCTTCTTCTAATCATTGTCAAATAGTAGAAGTAACATGATTGCCTAATTCACTGCCCAAGCATTAAACTTGCAAACGTGCAAAATAAAGACTTTTGCAATCTACATCAATAAATAACAAGTATAGGTAGTTATTTTTTCTCTCTTTTAGTTTTCAAATTTTTCGAAACATGTCATACATAAAACTATTGCTCTTATTCGTCATCATTACCGTTTCTGCTTTTCAAAATGCACAGGCATCCCTGTTATGGAAGGTCGTCAATATTAAATATCAATGCAACTATCCAGGTTGTTCATCTTTGGCCACTGTTTCTGCATCAAGCTTAGAAAATTGTCAAATGGCTTGCGTGGGCAATACGGCATGTCGTACAGTTACTTTTGATGCAACGAGTGATCAGTGTCAATTGCATTCTGATATTCCAAATCAAAGTTGTAAACAGTTATCTCAAACAGGCGTTACAACTATGTCTACCACTGATAATGAACAATCGTCTGCTCGTAAGTAGGAGAACAGCATATTATGTTTCACAGGATGAATGTCTACCATTTACCCCGAATCGACTTACCCCAAATTGAATCCCCAGTTTGGTCACCAGTCTTTTACAAGGTCACCAAGACAGGGGCATAGCCAGAGGAGTGTCCTAGGGGCGCAGGCACCAGTGATTGGATACTTAGTACTTTATAATATCCTCTGTCTCGTCGTATATAGCGAAGAAAGGATGCTTGTTCATATGCGTGCAACTGAATTATATTTACCGGTGGACGCTCTCATATATATTTATTTAAAAGGCCCATGTATGTTAGAAAACATCTCCGAACCACATATGTTAGCAAACCACTGAAAATGTGACGAGCGGTATAGGTCTTTGTCATTACACGTGAATGAGAGAATCTTTATGCAGTCTATTTCTATTTGTTTCTTTTGCGCATGTATGAATGATAGCTATACATAAGTTCATGAAAATATTCAATATGGAATAAAACTCAATGCCTTCTTTAGTGAAATGCGAAACTTTATCAACCACAATGAGGCGTAACTAATATATAACAGCTGGATAAGAACTTCTTACCAGGCATCACCGTGATTACTTTCGGTATTCATGAATACAGACAATTATCCGGCACCGTTCAAACTCTTTAGCACAGATCTATAATTTTTCACTGAATTCATTAAATATTCAGATTTCGTTGCTCTTATAGATGCCACTGAAGTACGGAGTTTCAGAATATCCATAGGTAGAATCAGCTTGGAAGGTAATTATCGTATTATTAAAATGTTCTAAGTACAGATGTATTAGTACCCGTACTAAGTATAAATGTACTACAGTACCAGTGCCCAGTACGTTTGTACTTAAGTACAATCGTACTCAGTACCAGTACACAGTACAATATGATACAGGGCAGTACATCCAATTTCCAGTACAAAGTACATTTGTTAAGTACACAGTACTTGTACTGATTGTACTTGTACTTGTCCGATCACTGACGGGTACCCCTCTTGGAGAAAAAATGGCTGAAGGGAAGTACAGGAATAACGATACTAATCGTAGGATCCAAAACTTTCTTTCCTAGCATTCACTCCCCTTAGAAAATTCCTGGCTACACCACTGCACCAAGATGGGGATAAATTTGGGGTAAGTCAATTCGGGGTAAATGACAACATACCCACAGAGGATATATAATAAACAGGTACTTAAGTTCGCGACACTGCCCTAACTGAAGTACAGCATTGAAACATACTCAATCTGATCTGTTTTCTAATTGCTATCATAGTGACACAAGAGTCTTTTTGTTACTGTTGTTGGCCATTTATCTCAATAGATTCTCTTTTTTAACGTCTGCTATTGGGCACGAAGATTCATAGAACGACACGTACAGTAGATGTCTCCTAAATTCATTAATTGTTCGCGTCAGACATGGATATAATCCATCAGGTGTAGTCCTGCTATGGGTCCCATCTTGAGGGTGAGGATGTGAGAGTATGGGTGGCGCAGAGGTAGGACGCAAGTACAACGCAGAAATACTTCTACTTCTAGTAGAGTAATTTATACTAGGGGTGGATCATTTCCGTTAATTTGAAATTAGCGTCAACGGCAACCCGATAACCGTCAATTTCCACTTAATTAAGTGATTAACGTATAAGAAACATCTTCTATTACTTCAGACGCAATTGTAGATCCATTCTGACTCCGCATCTATAGATTCATGAACGAAAACTCAAAGGTCCATGG